AACAACTTTTGGGAAATTGAACGGAAAACCTCAGCTCTACTCATGTCATTGTGGGCAAAATAAACCGCCAGTCCTTCATCACCTTCAACGAAATCGGGTGAATACAACTCGTATGTGTGATTTATCGGTAGTCTCGAAACTCTGCTTACACACAAAAAATAAATATCGAATGGTTTGGCTAATCCTCTTTCACGACGGTCATGCCGCCTGTACCCGACGGTGGTCAGCCTCTTCCCGCTGGTTTGCCTGCATCACGTCTGCCGTCTGCGACTGGAGCAGTTGATGCGTCCAGCAGCCCGATCCCTCCAACGAAGCGCGATTATGCGGCTTCTGGAGGCGGCGTTGCGTCAGCTCGCCTCTTCGCAGCGCCGCTTGGCCGACTGTCTGCCCAGCTACAGTCGCATCTGCCTGCCTCGCTTGGAGACCAGCCTCTGGTTGTCGGACGACTGGATGCGACGACTCGTCGCGCCTCTCGTACGTCGTGCCGCCGCGCCGTCCGCCGCCTCGACACTGACCGATCGGCACGACCTTCCCGGTCTGGCGTTCGAGCTCGCCGACACAGCCGCCGTTGGGGCGCTGCGAAGGCGAATAGGCGACGAGTTGAGTCGAGGTGGGTTTGCGGTAGCTCGCTTTCACACTCCAGCAATCGCATCACCACGGCCCATCTGAACGGCCGTAGGACACGGCTGGTCTTCCAAATCCCGTCTTGATAGCCACCATTTTTATATTCCACTACTACTGTTAATACTACTATTTTCATCACTACTCCTATTACTACTATAACTATTGATGCTAGTGATACTTCAACTAAAACGGCTGTTAATTTGTGTATTCAACGGATACAACATTTAAGCATATTCGGAAGGAAATATTTTCCTTAAAATTTTAAATCTTTATAAATTTAATGAGATGTATTCACCCTATTTCGTCTAAGGTGATGAAGGAACTTGAGAATGTACCAAGTCCACGCTCGGACGCCTGAACTCATCAGGGATACTGTGACAGCAGACTTAGGAAAAGGTGATTTAACGTAGCTATATCTAAAAATAAGAACA